CTGATTAGATTATATATATAGATTGATAGATAGATTATGATTTGGTACCGAACATTAAAATAATCATTTATTGTATAGGAATGTATGGGTGCAAGTGATGCGGTGAGGCGCAAACAGGGGAAATAGAAGAAAAGAGAAATGCAGTTATCGGTTTCTTGCGTTGCCGGTAGAGGGCAGTAGATGTCTAATTGCCGTTCAACATGATGCATCTCAGTAGGGAAAAGCACCATTCGCAATTGTGCCAACGTCTACGATGGGAGACTTTACGTATGTCGAAAAAGCAGACATGCATTACATGTACGGCCGGCAAAAGGTAACGGCAGAGTTGAGCTATGAATGTATCACGCGCAGTTTCCTAATGGACGAATGCCGGATCACAGAATTTTCCAGCGGTTGTATCATTAATTTCGTGATACAGGTTCGTTCCACGTCACCAGACACGTCGAAGAACTGCATGCAATCCAAGCCTGGAAGAACTTTTCTCAAACGTTGTGGCTGATAGACCCGAGTCAAGTACAAGAGCTGTTGTTCATCAAGTAAGTGTGAATCATCAGACAGTTAGTAAAGTGTTAAACGAAAATCCTATAAACCCCTTCCATTTTTAGCAAGTACAAGCTTTGAATCCGGCAGACTATCCTCTCCGCCTGCAGCCGGACTTCATATCTCATGAGCTATTTACAGATGAGGCAACGCTCACACGTGAGGCTGTCTTTAATGCGCACAATATCCATGTGTGAGCAGCCAGGAATTCACATGCGTATCAACAACGAGTCTGTGTGAATGAGTGAGCCGGTATTGTCAACGACATTTTGAACCCATGCTTTCTACCGACGCGACTTAATGGCGAATGTTATCCTATTTTCTGGAACAGGTGTTACCAGAACTTCTGCACGATGAACTGATCACCTTTCGTAACCGCATGTGGTTTCAGCATGATAAGGTGCCAGACCACTTCAGCACTAATGTGCACACTTACCTGAATGCCACGCGTGGGGCGCGATGGATTGAGAGTGGCGGACCAGTCCCTTAGCCACTCCAATCTCCCAATTTATCGAGCCTCTATTTCTTTTTATGGGGACATCTGAAGAATCTTGTTCATGCGACGCCACTTGACTCAGATGAGAATCTCGTTGCTCGATTATCCGAAGCTGCTGCACGTGTGAGTGAAATACCTGGCATCTTTGAACATGCACGCCAATCACTCTACTGACGCTGTCAAGCACGCATCACTACTGGTGGACACAATTTTGAACAGTTATTGTAAATATTACACGCGTCAACGACTCTTTCAATAAACACTTTGTCTTTCCTTTCGTCTCTCACTTTTTTGTGTTTGTGCCTCAACGTCACTTGTGTCCATACCTTCCTGTACAATAAACGATTGTTACAAATGTCCTGTACCTCCCCTTAGTTTGTACCACGAATTCGGGACCACTCTGTATAGATTTATATTCATGTGAAACATACTCACTGAGCAATCATCACAAAATGTTCCAAAATAGTCCTGTTCTGTGCTGTTGCAAATGCAAGTTCCACAATCACATACTCCATGTCCACTACAAACTTCCTAATTAAAAAAAAAAAGAACTAATAAAGCGTTTAATTCGATAGCAATTAAAGGCTGCTTAGTAACTGAATTTTTAAAAGTTTGTTTTCAACTACGTAGTCAACGTTTTGGATCTAGTTTTCATCTAGAACCGGCAGAACTCCCGCCCCAGAGTGTCTGATTAGATTTGTCGCTAATCGTTTTAATTGTTCCAAATATCCATGGAAAAAAAGCCCCTAACGTTAGTTCCTTTAATTCCAAGATGCCTCCATATGGGGAGTAGATTTTTGTCTCTCTTTTGAAAATTTAGAAAGTTAGGAAATGCACCCTATTCCTATTATTGATGTTTTTAAGTGTGAGGGACATTTCTTGGTATGCTCTTTCCCGATGTTCCCTACATTGATGTTTTAAGATAAAGGGCCATTACCCATCACACATTCGTCCGGTATTTCTTACATTGATGTTTTTTTTAAATTCTGAAGGTCATTACACGACATTTTTTAAGCAAACAGTTTTTCTAATCTAAATTATTTGAAATTCGTAATCACTTCTACTACTGGAAAAAAATTAATGAATGTAATAATATAAATGAAAGTAGGATAAACTCTGAGTGTCGAAATGCTTTTCAATACATCTTGTTATTAGAAAGAGAATATTTTATCTTTAATTTACAGTTGGAAATCGAAAATAAATCAAGTCTGAAATCGAAAATAAATTCTGTCTTGTGTATCTGTTTCAGAAAAAAAAAGCCGACACGCAACAAGTACTTTTTTCCACCTGCAAAAGATATGATATAATCTGATCCCATTGGGATGTAGCTTGGAATTGAAGGAGTGGCACTGTATGTTTTTTGTTTCAAAATCTTGCTATTCCATGATTTCAGAGATGAAAAAGTCCATAGACGGTTAGGCAATTCGGAAGTGTAAGGAGGAGACCGGGTGATTATGACAGACACCTCATATCCCGTTTAAATTGTGGTAATATATTGCGCGCATGGGATCATCACTGAGGATAAATTCCAAACCGCAATTGCTCATTAGAGTAATTCAATTATGGCGTCAGCCAAAACAAACGGACTATTATATTTGTTATTTATATTTAAGAGAATTATGTGTTCATTATAAGTAAGGTGTAAGGCTTAAAGGTATATTAGGTTTCAAAGTAAGATATAAAGTTAAAAGTAAGATATAAGGTTTAAAAGATCGAAATTGTGAAACTTTATTAAGCAACTCTTAACTACTTGGTATTAATTCTAATTGTTTTAGCTCTCCGCTGCTTTAAAAAAATAAATGCCATGTATTATTAAATAATAGGTTTGTCAAAGAAAGAAGTAATTATTAAAATCGTGCCTTTTTCAACTATTCAAAATACTACTTAAAATGAAATAATTCGACAGAATCGCAGGATTCGAATTACGTCATTATGATTGATTGAGGAAAGGCCTTAGATTGGGAACGTCTTTATGACGCATTTAGGTTCCAATCTAATACTTACTCCGTTTAGGCCTTTACAGCTATCTGTCCCATCTTTGCAACTGCAATCATGTCCTGTCCACCCCTTCTTACATTTACAGGAGCCACAGTCACAAACGCCATGATCAGGACCTAAAAAAAGCAAACCATATATTTTAGCTCCCTAATGATTCAAAAAATAATTTTGGTATCAATTGTTTTCTATAATTAGTCATTTCTTAGACAACGATACTAATAACATACTGTATTTATGCTATATACACTGTATATGTTACCGTGTATGACGAAAATCAAGAGAATGTCGACTTTCCCGGGTAAATGTCAATATTTACATAGTCGCTTTGGTGAATGTCCGAAATATTTGTTATATCCGATTTGGTGTTAATTTATTCGCTGACGTTATCATATTTATTCGATATTTTAATATTTTCTGCGGATAGATTAGGAGAAACATCAGTGTTCGGAGTACCGGTTAAATGTATACCGGGCAGTGGCACTGAATCTTAAAAAACATCTATGTAGGGTATACCGGGCAAATGTATACCAAGCAGTGGCACTTAACTAGTACACAGTAGCATATACATTCCTATTTTGAAAAATTAGGAATTAGTTGACGATCCTTCCTTTTCCATTGCTTGGAAATTTATTCTAATTTAATTTTTAGCACCCTGGGGGCTTCCGCTAAATTTCGTCACACCAATTTCTTTTCTTTCTTATATTGTTCAAACTTGTCCTATAGGTTAAACAACTTTTTACTAGTTTATCTCTTTGCATTTTTACTGTCATATTGCGTTTAGATACTTGAAAATTCTTCGCGTTATAAAACCAAAACTATAGTACTTCCATTTCTGTATTTAATTTGTGCTTTACTCCCGCTGCTTTTTACTTTAGTCTAGCAAAAAGTATACTTTATCTATACTAATATTTTATTTTATGTTTACTTTATCTTTAAATAGCAGCCGTGTATACTCAGTAAAAAGTACGTTATATATGTCGGTGCCAAAAGTTCTCTCATTGATTATGGTGAGGAAGCTTGAAGAACTATAAGGTACTATAAGACGGGGGCTCAGTCACTGTTCACGTCATCTGATCGGGGCATGACATTCCTACCACGACCGATAGTAAAGATAGAGCCCTGAAATCCGGGGAATGGTTGGCTGGTGTGTAATAAATCTATAAAAAACATAAACTTACCGTTGCATACTTTACCGTTTCTTTTGTCACAATTGAAATTGTTGCATTCACAATAATCTCCATAAAGCTTTTCTTCCGGATTCTATAGAAAATATAATGAAAAGCTAATTAAAGAAAAATCATAATGTATTCCTATTTAGCGAAGAACCACTTTTAAGCTTCATTCTTAAATAAGCTGGTTTTAGATGATTTTTATTTCCCGCATTTGCACTGATTGATCACAGCAATAATTGGTCAGTGGTCAGAATCTAAACACATTTTTTTCCACTGATATATTAAAGTCTTACATGTAGATTGAAATAGGAGCAATAAACCAACAGTGTTCTTTATCCATGATTTACTGTCTTAATTCTTGAGATGGTAATCCTGTGTCAATCGTGAAGTGAAACAAAATTTAAATTAAAATAAAATTTTTGTATTAATTAAATTTTTAATATAAAATTTTTTTAAATTAAATGTAATTAAAATTTTTGTAATTGATTTACATTTTTCACCTTTACAAATAAACAGAGTTCGCATTTTGTACCTCCATTACAAATAAATGGACGTCGCATTTTATGACTTATTTTTCTTCGTATTTTAAGACGTTGTAAACGACCCCGTTGCTGCTTTGGGTGCTTTACTTTTCGTTACATCTTGTTTTGCTAAGCTAACCTTAAATTCCAACTCTGTGTAAAAAAAATTTACAAGAAATACAAAGAATTTAAAAAAATTTAACATTCTATAATTAGTCAAAAATTATAAGTTGTTAAACTTGCAGTAAATAATACCATTAGGTCCACTTAACGAACTTTAGGAGGACTAATGAAGAATTGAAATTTGACGGGCAGAAAATTTTTTTTTCGTGAAATTTCGTTGCTTTGTTGTGCAAAAACTATAACGGTTAGAAATTAGAAATCGGGAAGGTGTGTAGAAAAACATATAGGAATAAAAAGTATATTTTTAATTTGCTTGTTACATTGCTGTGTTATATTTCGTTGCATTGTAATGAAACTGTAACGTTGGGAAATTTGATATCTGGAAAGTGTGTAGAAAAATGTATAGAAATTACGAAGAAAATTTTTTTTTTTCAATTTCCTTGTTATATTGTTGTTATACTTCGTTATTTTGTAGTGCATAAACTATAATACTTGGAAATTTGAAATTAGTAATGTGTAGAAAAATGCTTAGGATTAACAAAGAAATTTTTAAAAAATTAACATCGGAATAACTTTTTTTCTCACTTTTTTGCTTTAAATAGTGATTATCCATCGAAATCATTATTTTAAAAGCTCACGCTAAAGTTAATGTCAAAAGTAAAAAAAAAAAAAAGAATAGAAGAAAGCGATTGTGCAAAAAGAGAAGGGAGATTAATTTTTAAGGGATACATATAAATCTTATAATTTGGAATGATATACAATAATAAAAATTTAAGACTTTGAATTAAACACAGATAAAAATGATTTCTAATTTTAATTGTTAGAATGTCAGGAAGTCTCGTTAACGAGTGAAAATACTTCTTATTTATTTATCCTCGTATAGAGTCACACAATCAGCAATCCTGAGTTTAAATATTTGTTTTTCAAGTACAGTTAATTGTTTCTCGAATCCAGGTAAATGTTCACTTTATTACCATTGGCATATTAAGAAAATGTTCTCACATAAAATTATGATAATTAAAAACTTTATTTGAAAAATGTTAGTTGCTTTTGTGGAAAATATCGCTCTTTAAGCACTTGCGCTGGCAANAAAAAAAAAAAAAAAAAAAAAAAAAAAAAAAAAATCACTGACGCGTGTACCATAACGGTCCAGTATAACTGGCTGGGAGGCGTCGCAGTGTGCGATGCCTCAGACTGCAGTGCGCACTGTGCGATGCGTGTTTCCACACCCATTCCTTAGGAATAAGATAAATTTCACAATTTTCATTTATGTACTTTTCCTCGTCATCAGAAAAAATTCTTCGTCATTTTCGAAGTTGAAAAATTATTTCATCAAAGTCACTATCACTACCATCCTGTTTTCTTTTTCTATTTGTCGAAATGATGTCGTTAACGTCACTTTTGCTTTCCATTTTAGAATGTGGGTTAAATATTTATAACTGTACGCTATGCAGAGCACTGATGATCTGTACTCTGACAACAATTCCACTTGACGTGCCACTCATGTTGTTTTTGTTTCTGTAACAATTCCATGATGACGTAAATACCCCGTCGTCGGCGATTCTGTGACGAAAATAATATGACATGCGTGGCACGTCTTTCCAGCGCAAGTGGTTAAGGAAAAAAAATAACTACGAATGCGAAGCAATTGACGTGGGTCGGTGAGTGGAGCGAGCAGCAAAGCGGAGTCTTCTAGCGACTATAAAATAATTTTAAAGCTTTAAGAAGCAACATTTTATAATGTGGATCTGCTAACTTCTACGAAATGAACCGCTTTCTTACCAAATAATTTTTAACTGTAAATATCCGAGAATGTGCCATTTTTATTATAAGTAAACTTATAAAACTTAAAACCGAAATGAAATGTCTACATCTGTCCCAAATTTCTCGCTGTGGTCCGTTTTTTTTTAAACTTGAACTTTACATTGCTAAAGTTTAAGCCTTTTGTATATTTACAGATTCTGTATTTGGCAGTGTTACGGGTTGCGTGTTTTACATTGTTGCAACATTCTCTTATCTTTTTGTTATAGATTGTGCATTTTACGTAATTACACTTAGTGTGTTTGATATTTCTATCAAATATACATTTTACATTGTTAGAGATTATGTTAATAACAATATTACAAATTTTGCTATCTACACATAAAAGATTTTTATTGTTACATATTACGCATTTTATTTTTACTTTGTGAAAATTATATAGTAGAAATGTATACCGGGCGAGGGTGACAATAACATCTACCACAGCGACAGGATCCTTGACCCGAACAGGGCACTGTGTCATCTCCACTAACAAGAAAAATCAAAACAGATGTATGAATTAAAATAATAAAATCATGACTAAATTGAATAAAACAAACCAACTTGAATAAAGCGCAAACAAGAGTACATAAATGGACATATGTATTTTATGTGCATCATTTTTCTTTTATTCATACGTGGCACCAAGTATGCCCTCATTTGGATTAAATGTACTACACAGAAACACACGTTTTGTTAAGTAAAGCGAATGCGAAACATGTGTACAACGATGAAAAATTAAGCTAATACTGCAATGTAATATTTTTAAAAATCAGATATTAAAACAAAAGTTTTTTTCTTTTGAAAATAATCTACTTAACTTCTTTTAAAAGGAAACTTAATCTAAAAGATGTGTAAATTAAGTTGTGACACAGGTGACGTAACGATCCATGCGGCAAACTGGATCCCTTTAACTCGTACGGGTGTCTCTCCTACAAGTTTAATACAAAAAGAAACTTGGCAGATTAACAAGGTTTTTTCAAAGCTCTTTTGCCGAGAAAAATAAAAAGGCCACAGTTTAAGTGGCCTACACTTGAAGAAAAGTTACAATTTAAAACCGTTTGCACCATCTTTTATAACTTTTTATAACTGTCGTTGAACAGCAGACCCAATTTTTGGATTTACGACTACTGATGTTCAATGACGTATCGCCGTAATTTTGAACTCAATCCAGAAGACTGGGGAACTCCTGGATCAAGTATATGGGGAAATTTGCCTTCGTGGAGGACGTTTTGGTGGAACTAACCCGCATTTGCCTTACATAGAGAGGAAGACCACAAGAACCTCCCACGGTTAGCTTGACGACAAGGGGACTCTAACCCATGAAATACCACTGAGGATATTTCACGTCAGCACAGTGGTCGGTGCAAGCCGGATGCGGAATTCGTGTCCACTGCGATTCGAACCCGGTTCACCTCATTGGAAAGCGAGCGCTCTGTCACCTGAGCCATCACGGCTCGTTTACAGCATCTTGATGATTATCTTGAAGATTATCTTGGCTTTCGATCAGGCAAATAACTAAAATCTTTTAAAAATTTAAAGAAATTAAGCGTTTTTAAAAATCGCCAATTTGGCGAAATTTTTCAACCTATATAAAATTTATCAAAATCAATGCCTTATTCCCGTTTTTAGCAAATTTTTATAAGCCCTGATAAGACAGCATTAGAGTAAGTTTTTAAATATTAAAAAATTAGACTGTTAACGCTTTTCATTTCCCCAAAACTATATGACTTTTCTCCATATTGACGGTTGAACGGTTGAATTTGTATCACACAACCGTTTATCAGATTTTGAACAAAGAATTAAATTTGTACTACGAAGAAAGGATCATACATACGAGACCAAAGGACAAGAACGGCAAAGCGTTTGTCACACAGTAATGTCGAATAAATGTGTTTTTGGCCTATAAACACATTCCTGTGACTCCTCATCCTCTTGATGCCCTTAACTCAAGTTCGTTTAAGATTTTCTTCTCCCAGAGACTGAAAATGTATCTCAATAAACGACATTTTGGAACATTGGAAAACACTGATAAAATTGAAGGAACACTGAATGATAATACTGATAAAACGGGAATTTTGCTTTAGATGTGGTTAAAAAAACTAAAAATTTTATTGATAGATGGAGCTGTATGTATAGTAAAGTCGGGAAAGAGTTTGCGCATGGCACACAGCCAGATAAATTCTATACTTTTGTATGATTATGATAACGTTTGTCTACGGTAAGAACTCCCTCCGCCACAAAGCCTGAGTCTGTCTGCTGTTATGGAAACAAGAACAGCGGATTTCAGGCAGGGTAGCTTCTCTTCACTCTTTGGCTAACACAGCAGACCGAAGAAAAAGATTATCTTTCTATCGCCGAACCGAGTCAAAACCTGTCCTAAACAATGATCCCACACCACTACTTGAAATAGTTATACCTCGTTACCATGGTCACCACCACAGGTCCAGACGATTGGCTAGGGGTGTTCTTACTTTAGACAAACTATAGGTGCAACAAAGTTTTTTTTTCTCTCTCAAAGCACTGTCCATTGTTTTCCTGTCTTTGACGATATTCTTAGTTTTTGTTTCTTGCGCCATCTATAGGTGCAATTTCAAGTTGTTTCTTTAAACCACGCTCAAACAATTACCATTGCTTTGAGACCATACCGTTGGCGTTTCAGGTCTGTGCTTTTTTGTCACAGGATTTTAAATTCACTACTTTAAACAAAATTAACCTATACATTAAGGACAGTCATTACAGAACATTTTGCATAATATTCCATGTATCAAATCACAGTTTTTAGTCAGAAGAGTATGTTTAATTTACTTGTAGCATGATTTCACAGCTGAGAAGGGATCAACATCTGTTGCATCACATTCACATTCCTTGCCATATCTACCTTTGTTGCAATTACAAACACCACATTCGAAGGTTCCGTTGCCATCGCTACATTTCGGGCTGAACTTCTCCTAAATCAAAGCAGAAATTGGAGGCATGAGTTTTATTTCCAATTCATGTAGTATAAATTTAATAGATAATTTATAAACACAATACGCCTCCTAGTTCGTATAGTTATTCTATAAGTTAATACAAAAATAACAAAAAATTTTATGCATAGGATACTAGTTTGATTTCATGAAAACAATTTCCTGTGAGTTGCTGTAAACTTTGCCATACATCAGTGTTTTACATGAATGAAATTTGGAATACCATATTGCTATAGGTGAAGAAGTTTGAAGTATGCATGTTGACTCCCAGTATGCACGTTGCGAAACATGGAGTTCCAAGAATTTAATCAAGCGATTATTGACGAAGTTGTTTCCATTTGCAAAGAACTGCAGCGTCGAGTGTTTAGCAACTTCCAGAAGCAAATGTAATCAAAAGTGTGCATCAATTTTATTGGAGACCATTGATCTGACTCTATGTTTAAGTAATGAAGTTTTGAGTGTTGGTAAAAAAAGTGGTACTCATCTTCTTATCCATTCTTTGTATTTTTAAATTAGTAACAAAACGTATACGTAAGCTTTATTTATTTATCTTTGCTTAATATAGATGATTAGTAGATTTCGATTACCACCACATATAATTAAAATAAATATTTAAAAAGTCCAAACAATATTTTTTTAAAAATATTAAGTGTTTGCATAGTTTAAAGAATCCCCTCAATTGTTACATCGCTAATACTGTAACGAATCCATTAAAGCTTGAGTTTTTTATGTGTCGTGATGCAAAACAAGCTCTTATTAAAAACGTGGTTATTTGTTAGCCAAATGAATATTTTCTTCTGTTAGCTACTGCTTGATTTTTGAAAAGAATGAAAAATATTTGCTTGATGGATAAGCAAGCAGTCTTGTGTCAGATTAGATGAATTCTCGTAGAATTCTCGAAATTCGCGTGACGTATAGGTCACGATGGGTCAATATGGGTTAACCAGAAGGTTTGAAAAACAGACCATTTTATTTTTTCCTGTTTTTAGATCATTTAGCGCCATTTGGCTTTCACTTTTCGTTAGCTTTGCTTGTCGAAGCTCTGGCAGCAAGGAAAATAACAAAGCCACAGTTTAAGTGCTTTACATTTGAAGCAAATGCGATGATTTTAAACTATGTAAATAATCTAGCGAATTAAAGAATTATCCGGGCTTTCGAACAGACAAACAACTTAAATGTTTTAAAAGTTATTAAACGTTTTCAAAAATCGTCAATTTGGTAGCATTTTCCCACCTAGATGCAAGTTACAAAACCACTGCCTTAGTCTCAGTTTTTGCAAATTTTTATGAGCCCATGTAATGCAGCATTGGAGTAAGTTTTTAAATATTACCGAATTAGACTACAAACGCTTTTCATTTTCACAAAACTGTGGCTTTTCTCCCCATTGACGTTTTGCCCCATTTTCAAAATAAGTGTAGGCTTCAGATATTCTAAACTTGACCTAACAGTATTGAGAAACAGTAGCTAACTCACAGCGGTTATAAAAACAGCATATTAATCGCAAAAAGCATCCTTTTATATTACGCCGGAGCTTTCGAAAAACAGTCATAAACACTGATATTGATTGCTCTTGTGTTGAGCCAAAGGTAATGTTCATGAAAATTTATTCAGCAGGTATGATATTTTTTGTTTCAGTGATATAATTTACATATTTTTTCACCTAGAATGTGCAATAAGAATGCATAGTTGGTTTTTAAATAGAAAAAAGGGGCCATACCTCATTCCAAGGCTTTTCACAGTCACATTCGCACAACATTTCCAAATTGACTGTCAAATAATCCTGAAGTCCAACCGGGAATATGTGAAATGTCCGATTCCAATCTTTTGGATCTTCTGGACAGAAGGAAAATTCCAGATTCACTTCAAAAGTTATCTATAAAAAATTGTGATCTTTTTTAACTCCTTCTGGTAGGATTTAATAATGAATTATATTGCATGAATTAACTATTTTTTCTTAAAAATTTAGTTTTATTTCTTGATTCTTACATATCGTTTATTAAAATTACGATATTGATATGGATATAATAGTAATTCATTGTAGAATATTAAAAACAACTTAAATATATGTACAAGAAACGAGCGATATTAGTCTTTTTATAGGAAGGGGGGTTAATTAATTAGATTTTACTTCGTTAACTAATTATGTAAGGTGTTCAAGTAGTGATGAATATTTATATTTATTTCTACCCATTGGCAAAACGGGTCTTGGTTTGGGCGTCATCACACTTTTCAACTACAATAACCAAGAGTAATAGTAGTAAACAGTGCGCATACGTTACTATGGCGAACGCTGCTGTTTGATAATATTTTTCTTAGAATTCTTTTTCTCACTTTTATTTTTGTTATGCATTAAGTTGGTACTTCGGATCATCCTCAGGGATGCTTCGCAGACCGTCATCAATAGCCCATTGTGCAGCTCTAATGTGACGTAAATAAAGTACCTACCTTTTAGTGCACACGATAATAAATAAAAAATAACTCACATTTGTCCCAACTTTCAATCCTTTACAGATACTCGTTTTTTCCATTTTCTCACTAAAAAATGAATTTAAAAAAAAATTGAGAAAAATTAGTTTTAATAGATATGACTCATTCCTCTCATAACATATATTTTCATTCATTTTATTCTATAAATAAATACAGATGCATTTTGTGATAGAAACTACTTACCCTAGGCAGCTGGAATAATAAGATATTCGAATGTTGTTGTCACCAACGTCGTCAGCTATTTCAACTGCTGAAGTGATTTTCTGAGTTTAAAAATACACATTTATAGTTATGGAAATAATACATAATACTTATATTTACATTTACATAGTACATAGGGTGTCCATCGGAGGAGTGACTGGTTTCAAAATTAAAAAAACCCGAAGAGGTGGATGATAGAGGAATTAAACAAACCGTATGTCTATTACGAAAGCTGTTAAATTTTCACTTCGAAATTTTGGAATTTAGTTGCAAAAGTTTCCAACAGAAAGCGCTACAAACCATCTATTACTTGAGCGCTACAAACCATCTATTATTAGGAGTGATCATGCATTCTATGGAACACCACAAGTATTTCTGGTGCTGAAATATCACTGATAAGATTGCATCTTACTACATTTGTAATCTTTTCAAGAAATTCATGAAATATACAGCGCCATCTATTGATAACTTTTTTAACTCAATACCCAAAATTTCTGAGTAAAATTTTCACAGCTTTCGTACTCCTCTATCAGCCGAGATTTTTAATTTTAAAATCAACCAGTCCCTTACTAGAAAACCTGTAGGATTCAAGTCATAAAATTTAAAGGCATGGAAAGTGATTAATACTCACATCGTATTGTTTTCTGACGAGGTCTACAATATTTGCTGAATCCTTATCCAGCCTACCTGTGCTAGAGCCAGTAAGTTGTTTGCTGAGAGTCTCGTAAAGCTCGACCTGGTCACTAGTGACTGCAAAAATCATATTGATTTTGTGATCACGAATTTGTCTGTTGATCTGGCCTAAGGAAGGATAGTCCAGCTCAGAGCTCATAGTGTAATAACCTCGTTTATCCAAGTGGCACTGTTCATCATTTGGAGCTACTACTCCGCCAAGCTAGTAACAGAAGTTGGCTCAATCAAAGATAATACAGACAAAAGTCTTAACTTTCAGTTTCTTAATTTATAAATTCAGGTTAAAATAAAAATTGGTACTCATTTGGCAAACATTGCCAAAAGAAAAAGAAAAAAAAGGCACTTAACGAGGTTTTTTGAAGCTCTTTCACCAAGAGCACAGTTTGGATTTCTTACACTTGAAGTAAAGCTATAATTTTAATGCCATCTTGCAGTCAAGAATTATCTGGGCTTTAGAATAGATAAATAACTAAAATACGAGTATTTTAAAGGTTATTAAACTTTTTTTTAAAAAATCGCCAATTTGGCCATATTTTTCCATCTAGGTGAAAATTAGTAAAATGAATTCCTCATTTTTATTTATTTTTTTGCAAGTTTTTATAATCTCAGATAATGCAGCATCGGTGTAAATTTTTAAATATTATAAAATTAGACAACAAACGTTTTTAATTTTCTCAAAACTGTGGCTTTCATCCATATTTGAGGACGTTTTGCGGCCATTTTCAGAAAAAACATAGAGAGCACTGGCTAAAGATAAGCTAAAATTGACCTAACAGTCAGAGGTAACTGTCCCAAATTTACGTCTCTTATGAAAATACCATATCATTCTCAAAAAAGCATCATTTCATGCGACTACAGATCCTTGGAAAAATAGCCTTAACAAACATCACATGTAACATTAATTTTTATCGGAGTTCTACCGAATATTTTTCAGTTTAAAATTATGTAGAAATGCGTAAAAATATAAGAATAGTAAAATAGGCACAAATTAAAAACATATATATTACTTTTCCATCTCCTGCATAGTGGAATGAATTGTCAGTGGAAAATACAAGCAGTTTTCTTGATTTGTGTCTCCATCCAATTTCTTTCTAAGAAGAAAACCAACAATAATTTTTTTATTAATTTGCAGACTGCTTACTAATGACTACGAAAACAATTACTAAGAACTAAGTATATATATACAGTTGAACCCCGCTATAGTGAACCGTCTGTGGACTCAGTAATGTGTTCACTATAACCGATGGTTCACTATATCCAAATTTTTTGCATAAGAGAGTTCAATGATTGAAAATTGGCTTTGCAATTTTACATAAGTTATTTAAAAAATTATTAACTAATTAACAGATAATAAAGCAAAAATTGATGGAAAAAGTAATTATGTCGCTAAGTATTAGTTTTATTTTCACTTTTTATGAAAAAAAATTTGTGATTTTTGATTGAACATAATTTGATTTTAAATAGAGTTCATCCATTTTCTTATCTACAATGTGCAAAGAATAAGATTTTTATATTTTGAACAAGATTTCGAACCATCTTAACAAAGCATCTTCTACGTTTTCTCTTTCAGCTCCACGCAGTTTTTTCGATGAAACCATGTTTTTGTCGTATGCCGCAAGAATTGCGTTTTGATTTTTCCAAATGTTTTAAACTGTAGATTTTGACAAGGAAAATTCCTTATACAGTGCCGATTGATTGGTTCCATCTGCAATCCGCTTTACAATTTTAACTTTGTCCTCTATCGAAAACGCTTTTCTCTTTGGAGAATTTGCCACTTTCACTGCTTTTGAAATAAAAATCTTGTCTCAAATAGATAATGTAAGAATATGAAGAGAGCAGCTGTAGAATGAGTTAAATTGTTCCCCTTCTTGATTGTCAAGGGGTGATTTGTAAAGAATGTGGTTTGAACAGATAAGAAAATTCCAAAAATTCAGCAGGTGGCCAAGTTAGCTAGTTGTAGAGCAAGCTTGAGGAAAAGAGACAAAGCGAGGCTTGTCAGGGAGGGGGGAGTATAAGATAAATGATCTGTTTGACATTTATTACAGTATAGTTAAAAGTGATAAGCATAAAGGAGTGAAATATGACACATTTTATAGGAATGCATTCATTTTCAGTCCCAACCTTAGAGGAGTAATTTAGGTAGAGAGAACCAGTCCCCCGTCCCTCGTTGCAAAGAACATCGTCACGTGATTCCTGGACGATTTTCCCTCCAGTAAACCTTCACCCCATTCTTGCTGTTGTTTCTTATCCCCTAATTGTCTGACGAAGTCAGACAAGATCCAGTAGGTTGTTGACCCTCAAAAAGTCGATTACAAGAAGTGGAGAAGCATATAAGTCCTCCTTGGAAAGGCCCAAGCAGTCGAGGATATGTTCAACTGAGGCCTGCTGGGCTTCACATTTGGAGCAGACTGCATAAGTCTTTCTTCCTTCAAAGTACGAGAGACTATTCGTGTGTCCACTTGCCAGTCTGGATATAGCTGTTTGAGATGCTCTATCACCTATATGAACAAGTGAAGAGCCCGGTTCCTTGGCCGCATACCAATGATGAGAGGGGGGGATCCTCCACTTTTTTGATAGATGGCTTTTGATTTTGGACTGATACTCTGAAAAGGTAAGGGCTGAGGACGAAGATGTTAAATGACTACAGCCCTCCTTGGCAAAAAGTGATCCGCTTGTCATTTCCAAAGATGTCAACGTGGGATGGTATCCACTGAAGATGAACGTCGTGGTGCTTTGAAATAAGTTGAAGTTTAAGAAGGATGGAGATGCTTGTTTTGTCTCCAACTTTAGTCCAGTTTTGTAGGTGTTGAAGGGAGCTGCGACTGTCCGACAGGATCCGAAGATCTCCAAAGTCACTCTCGTTGATTATAGCATCGATGCCCTGTTCAATTGCGTTTAATTCACTTCGAAAGACTGAAGTGAAATCAGGATTACGGAGACAGATGGAGTAATTTTGCCCAGATTTTTCAATGAAGACGCCGCTACCAGCTAGGTTTCCGAGTCCACTACCGTCTGTTTTCTATGGAGGTGGATTGATGAGCTGTGTTTTCTACTATAAAATTTAAAAAAAATGGTGGTATACTTGCTGTGCATTCGGATGTAACGAAAAATTCATTAAAGGAGGACCTTTTACATTTCACAAGTAAGATTTTTATACTTTTATATTCACTTATAAACATTTATTTGCAATTTATATGTTAGCACGTCAAGTTATCTATCAAAATAGCAATTATTTTTTTATATTTTTATTTAAATTAATAGAATATAATGTAGTTAACATTGATAGGCATTTTCATTGCAATTAAATTTCATATTGATATAAATATTCTGATATTTTTACTCCTTTTCTGATGAAGCACGTGCATCGGATATGGCGCATTTTTTTCACGCCAATGTTTGCAAACAGATCGCTTTAATTTTCGCTCTGTAACTTTTATTGATGCATTAAAATAATTTTTTGTAATAATTTCAAGCGAATTTAATTATATATATTAAATGATTTAATTATATATTTAATACATTTCATGCAAAAAATAATTTTTTGGATCAAAACTAAAATTATCTTTTAGAAATTCCGTTATTAAATAAAATTTATAAGCCGAAGAATATATTTCTTATTATTTTATTATATAGGAAAAATTGTTTGGATATTCATATTTACTTAGGAAGCTTTATATTTATTACTGTACATTTATTATTCAGGAAAATATTAACTAGGTTATTATAGGTTCTATTATTAATAATAGGCCCTATTATTAAATAATTGTTATAGGATTATAAGAGATGTGGCTATTTATTATTATTATTGTATGAATTTTATTTTGATTTCGAGAAATAAAAAGGGAATAATTATTTTATTTTTAATATCAATTAATTTTTTTAATATAAAATTATAAGTAGCTGTTGAGAACTATCAATGTTTCAAACAACTGGTAGACAGTATGTTCTTATATGGAATTTCGTAATACTTCTTTTTAAATGAAATAAAGGGACAAATACCAAGACAAAAATTTGCTATTTTAATTTAAATATTTTCATCATGTTATGTGAACTCACTAAAATTTTAATTGTATGCATTGGTTGAAATAAATTATTATCGCATGGCAGGTAAACTAGAATCCAAATTGTGCAAAAATTGTTTATTTAAAAATAAAACAAAATATTCTGTTTTTATCAGAAAAATTATGAATAACACTAAAACTATAAAAAAGTTAAGGAAAAGATTAATTGTATACCAATATATATATATATATATAAATTGAAAATTGCCGTTTTAGTTGTCCTGTTAAATTTTTTTATTATAGTACGTTATTTAAATAAGAAAAATTATCCATTGATTAAATTTAGTTATAAAAGGCTTTCATTGTAAGGTATGTATAAATGTTAGGGAAACATGTTTTAAAAATTTAACTAAGTATTTTTATAATAAAAATTGAAAAAAAAAAAAAGATAAGTAAAGTATTAACTATTAAAGCAAAGCATTCTCACAATAGCCCGTTGAGTGCCTGAAAGTCATGAAGGTTAAGCTTCTACAATTTAATGATCAACAGTCATAATAGTGACAATGGGGTTAGCATTGCGTACCGTCCGCCTTTACTTCATGGACAAGCTGACCCATCGATCTGAATCTGAATTAATAATTCTTCTTTATACTAATAGGAGACACAGATGTTCTTTTAAATAAATTTTTTTAATAACAATTTACATAATTATTTAACTCAAAAATAAAATTGCTAATTTTTTATTCACACATATTCTGCATTTTAAGAAACAGATACTGAATGTGCAGTGTATTATGAAATTTTTTCAAATCATTTCAGCTAATAGTTTTAACTTTAATTTAATTTTAAGAAAATTGTTACTTATTTTTCAGCATGTTGCTTTATTATTTCATTTGTCCAATAATAATTTTAAAACCACCCAGTATTAATAACTAACTGTTTATACGTAGATTTCCTAAAGATGAGATTAGACGAAGAGTATGGGAAGTAAATGTCCACAGAGAGGAATTCACAGCATCCAATAATAGTGTGTTATGCTCCAAGCATTTTACTGCGGATTCTTTTGATAGACAAAGATTTGGAGGCACTTGGCTAAAAAGAGATGCTGTACCCACCATTTTCAATTTCCCTAAACATATGCAAAAAAAGAAATCAACTTGCAAACGGAGGAAACTGGAAGACGATGTCCAATCTATTAATAGAGCTGGTAAATAAATATTAAAATGAACTTCTTTAAGAAGCTAAAATTTAACCTGCAATTTGCGAAGATAAATACACGTTGTATATGTCCTAATTGTATATTTCTATTATAGGACCTTCTCAGAGAAAATGTACCTTGGAGATTTCTCCGATGCAGATATGACTTCTCCCATAATAGCAAAGAAAGTTTTACAAATAGCCAAGAAACAAATTAAACAGAAAAATGAGACATCAGTCGAAGGAATAAAAACTTAGAAAAAAGAATAGCTTCTCTTGAAGAAATTTTAGAAAGTGTAGAAAAAAAAGCTCTTATTACAGATTCAGCTAGTCGTGTTTTAAAAGTAAATATTTCAAATGAGATTTACAATTTATTCATTGCATATTTTTTTTCACTTTTTAAAAATTAGTTTTAACTATCTATCAAATTAATTTAAAATTTTTTATTTTTACTAATAATCAACACACAAAAATAGTTGCTCAATTTATAAAATTAGATAAATTTAATTATTTTATTTTTATGTGAATTAAAGTATTTTTTCTTTTAAATTAACAGTCTTATTGAAAATTCTACTAATCTTGAAAGCAAATATTGTTGATGTTCTGTATATTTCTATTTAAACCAAAGCTTTAATCAGTTTTAAACTCATAAAAATTTGTTTTAGTATTAATCCATTGTTTGAGAAGTTAATTAAAAATACAATTAAAAATTAGACTCAATGAGTATGTAATTTTCTTAAACTTTATGCATTCACAATATTTCTTAACGTAATAAGGTTCCCTCACCAAATATTCTTAAAAATAAATTATTTAATTGCAGCTCTCTCTACCTGGCTGCCGCTGAAATAATCTCTAGAAAAGAAACCTCAACGCAAAAATACAGCTCTGAATTG